CGGCTACCGGGCAAGCAGGTCATATGTGTTCCAAGAGTGAGGAAGTGTCACATGCACCGTGGGGACATTACTGGTGAGCAGGCGAAGGGGTGGGCAGCGCGTTGTAGGCACTTGAGGCTCTGACAGGGACAAGCACCGGCCATGCCACTTGAGCCAAAGCCACCTGGGCAGATAGTAAAACCACACCACATGTGTCGCCACAGCTGCACTGAGACGAGGCGCTTTGCCTTGGGGAACGGCTGTAAGCTCCAGATAGCTGGCCCTGAGCCAAGGAGATTTGCAGCATGAACAGGAGAAACGCTACCTTATCAGGAACCTGGGGCGGCCGTGCTGTTAAGGCCAAAGTCAACAGGCTGGGGGGCAGGGGGGGACACAAGGGTCTCGGGGAGCTCTAGAGGAGGGGGCTGGAGCTGCCGCCAAGACCGAAACCTTGAGACAGATCTCCGCGGATCAGATTATCCAGCCGCAAAGCGCCACCCACACCCCTGCTGCCCTGCTCATTTACCCTGGCACCATGGATGTGCTATGTCACGGCTGAAGAACATGCCCATTCTTTTGTTGCCTTCCTCTAGTCCCTGCTCGACTGGTGAGAAAAGAAAGATCTCCCAAGCGCCATGGCAGTGGATACACGCTCCATTCCTGGGGTGGCAATACCTTCTTTTTCCCTTCCCAGGGCACTCAGAGGGCAGAATGCATGTGCATCTGGGGACCACTCGGAGACGTCACAGTGTGCGAGTGGTGAGAGGCAGCACGTGGACCCCCGAGGGGTGGGTTCCAGCCAGGCAGGTCAACTGGGCGGCCAGTCGCGGGGCTGGGGGGTGCTGCACACAGATGGGGAGACCCCTTTCCTCCCTCCCTTTCTCGGGGAGGCCCTGCCAAGGGAGAGAGGAGGGGAGCAGTAGCCAAGAGAGGAGGAAACTTGGCCCTCAGATAAGGGTGGGGATCAAGTCAGGATTTAGAGGAAACATCCAGAAACCTTTTGTGACAGCTATTCCGGTGAACTGGCTAAAGGGAGCGGGAGGAACCCTTGCTGTTCATGTATCTGAAGAGCAGGTGAAAACCCCCGGAGCTCATCTGGGGAGCGGCCACTCCATTCATCAGCCACAGTGAGTGGCATGTCAGGGCAGTGGAGGAGAGCGGGTGCCATTCACTTGGCCCACAGGGAGGGGACCGGCTGGGAAACACAGGTGCAGGCTGGAAACTGAGGCTGCTTGTGGACAAGTCCAGTGTGAGTCTGCCCAAGCGTCGGCCCAGTTTTCCCCGGATCTGGAGCTGGTCTCCTGAGTGAGGGGCCTCAGAGACAGGCCTCTGTATTTACACGTCTACACGTCTGTATCTACGTATGGCAGGAAGTTGGGCACTCTGTTGCAGGGACACCCCTGTTCTACCTGAACAAGGAGGCCCCCGGCAGGGGCTCCCCTCTGGATGCGCAAGACCACCTGCTATTGTGGGCAGCTGCACCCAAACCACAAGTGAGTGTCTCAAAGCTCAGGGAGCTGGCGTCAGTGCCAGTGGTGCCTACACAGCCCTGGTCTGAGGCCACATCCACGCAAGGCAGGACATTCGGGGACCAGTCAAGACCAACCCACCTGGAACACCAGGGAGTGGGGAAATGGCTCATAGAGCAGACACTCTTCAAATGCTTCTTGCTAAGCTCCAAAAAAGGCAGAAACAGCACCTCTATGTTCACTGTGGGACCCTAGTATGCCTGGCATACAGTAAGTACTCAAGACTTTCTGAATGTTCAGGCCCCAGGAACCCTAAGGGAGATCTAGACCAGCATTTTTCAACTGAGTAACCCTCTGGCTAGACCTCCTCACCAAGCCAGCAGTGCACATTAACACATCAATGGGTTGAGTTTTCTCACCTAAAGAAGTTTGTTTTCCTAGTGTTTCCCCAGCATATCTGCCCACAGAACAGTTTCTCAATGGGTTGCTTATTCACGTCTCACCTGAGGAACAGGGTTGGACATGCTGATCTAGTGTAACTCCATCATTCTACAAAAGATGAAACGGGGACTCAGAGAAAGCAAGCAATTTGCCAAAGTCACACAGCACACTGGTGGTAGAGTTGAGACCAACACTTAGGTTCCCCAACTCTTGGCTCAGTGGTTTTCCCACTGAAGGCAGCTTGCAGGCTGGGCTTTGCCAGACAGTGCCGTTAGGCGTGTCTTCAGACAACTCAGGGCACGAATGTTCCTTGGCGTGACCTAGAAAGCAAGGGCTGGTTTGACAGATTAATCCAAATTAAACCAGACTGCAGGGGCAATGTTTCACCTACTTGAGAACCTTTGGAACCACTTTAGCTTCAATGCATGTACTAATTACCTAAGGTTCTTATCTTTTCCTTAAAGCTAGTCCCTTAGGTCCCCTGCTTAGCAATCCTGGTAGCAGATTCCTGAGGCCACATGTCATCTTAATGCCACTAAAGTTCTTTAAAAATGTCTCTTGTTCAGACATCCCCCCATAGCCCTTGGGTTATTTGCAACCAATGAGGATTTTTTCCTCTCTGCCTTCCGTGCTGGGCAGGGGAGGCAGGGGTTTTGGAGATCAGCAATTTGCTTGTTCATAAAACTGGTTGCAGAGCTCCAATGGCTGCCATGGGGCTGGGGCTGCGGAGCTTCCCTAGAGAAGGGGGCGGCGTGCCCGCCACTTTGCTGGGTTTCTCAGTTACTCCTCCAGGCATCCTGTGGCACTGGTTCCACACCGGGCAGGGGCTGGAGCACCTCAAACCCCGGCTTGTCATCGTCTACACCAACATCTGGAGACCCAGGATCAGGCTTATGTGGGGGCTGGGGCGCTGGATGGCCCTGCCCACCCTGATTATATAGAGGAGGAAAAGGGCCCAGAACGCACACACTTGTTCAAGGTCACACAGAGAGCTACAGCAAATTCACCTTCACTAAGAGGGCAACGTCCCAGCGGCAGAGAACCTGGGACTGTCAGAGCAGCAGGAAGCCCCCAGCTGCAGTGCGCCCAGGAGGGGAAGCCACTTGCCCACACCAGTATCAGGGCTGAGGCCTGAGTCCAGACATTCTGACCTGCAACCTGACAATTTTTCCATTAGCAGTGGGCCACCTCCCTCCATCCTTACCCTGAAGCTGGGACTGCTGCCTGCGTAGCTACAAAAGGGTTTTTGGTGGAGGAGAGGGGAGGTCTGCAGCAGGTGACAAAGCTCCACTCACACCTCCTTGAAGCCTTGAGCAAGACAACTTACGCCCTTGGTCCCCCTTGGTGACACTAAGCCAACTTCCTTGACTGGCATCCTGCCCCGCCTGGGGTGGTGGTGGCCATGGTGTCAGAGACTGCCTAGGTTCCTCCCGAGAAGGTGAGTCTGAAGCAGAGCCAGTCAGCGAGCTTGCGACTTTATCCTAAGTCTCAAAAGGGCCACAGGGAGAACACCTGCTGAGAGATTCCACAGCACAGCAGGAGGGCTGGGCTGATGGGTCGGGGTGGGAGGCGGGGCACTGCAGCCTGTGGGGCTGCCTTTTCCCCTTCGCACCCGGTGGGTGGTGGGTGTTCTGCTGGAGCCCCCTCCTCCTTCCAGCCCCTGCCGATCACTGGACATTCCTTGAGTCTTCACGAAGCCAGGACTTGCCCGAGAGCCCATGGGGCTCCCATGGGCTGTTTGATAACTTGAGGTCTCAAGGCGTCCCAAAGAGGAACCTCACTCCAGGGCCATGGGACCTGGGAGAGCAATTGGATGAGGAGAGGGCAAGGCCTGGGGGAGAGAGGGGGTCGCAGGGTGCACAGATTCAGCCTGGGGTCCCAAGCTGGCAGGTTCTTTGGAGAGGTCCAGACCCATCTCCAGGGGAGTCTGCCAGGCAGAGGATACTGGGCAATTTGACACCAGCCACGAGGGAATCTGAGGCCGGAGCCCTCCAGTCCCCATGTGGGGACAGACACATGGGCCTGAGGGAAGGAAGCCCGGGGGCTCCTACTTTGAAGCTTTGAGATTCTTTCATTTCACCAAACAAATCCTGCCTCCCAGCCAAAGCCGCTGTCCCCAAATGCCTTGTAGCCAAGTGTGGTCCTCTGCGGTACAGAGGCTCCTCTCTCGTCCTACACTGGTGTGGCGGGAGGCCCCATCCTGGGATGCGGTGAACTCAGAGATGCCTCCCTTGCTCCTCAGTGCCAGGAGTGGAGTTGGCTTTACTCAATCCCCGAAAAGTGTGTAAATTATTTATGGTGTCGCTGGTTTCTTCACTAACATCTGTGACCACGTCCGTTCTTTTCAGACTATTTTTGCACAGACTATCACTTAACTCTAACACTTCAGCTCTCAAGGTGTCGCCCCTGGGCCTGCCCATCACCTCCTGGCAGACAGGAAGCCACACGTGACCTGCAGACTAGCACTGAACTGAACTGAGGGAGCTTCCTAGCTGAAAGAAAGGCCCCTGAGCGACAATTTTGTAAAGTGTCGGGAGAGAAAGTTGTCCAATTGGCTTTGAAGTGGGATTTGGGGGTCCCAGACTGTCACCGTGGAGACAAGAACCTATCCCACAATGCAACTGACTTGGTGGTCTCTCTGAGCCGAGATTGGAGCTTGTGTGTCTGGCACTTGTCGTGGCCACATTCTGTCATCCATCCTTTTATTTCGGGGGGCGTTGCTGTTCCTACTGTGTGCCCACGTGATCTACCTCCTGAGAGGACTCAGGATTAAACTGTATCTTCTCTCGCCCCCCGCCCCCCGCCAGTAGCAGGAGGCTCCAGAAAACTGCCTGAATGTCTGGGCAGAAAGGAACCTTTGAACCATTTGAGATCTAGTCCGATTCCCTCATCTAACCTTCTTATTTTATAGAGGAGGAAGCTGAGGCCCAGATGGGGCAGGGACTGGCCTAAGGTTGCACAGCGAGGTGGCAGCAAAGTTGGGATTGCACTCAGGCCTCCTGACTGCCAGTCCACGGCTCTTTCTAACAACTGATATATTGGCTACAGCTTCAAAATTCTCCCCACCAGGCCGAAATGGCCCCACCTGTCCCTCTCCTTCCCCGGCCCCTCCTACACATAATTCGGGTTGTAGCAGAGCATATCGAACTCCAGGTTCTCATCCCAGTGCCGCAGGAGCACGAACAGCTGTCGGGCAGCGGCCTTGAGTGTGCCCCGGGTGCGGCCCTCGGGCACGTCCTGCTGCTCCAGCCACGAGTTGGCCTTGGCAGCCACCAGCTCCCACTCAGTGAAGTAGGAGGCCGAGCTGTGCTCCAGCCACGCCAGCCCCACCACCGTGGCCCACAGCTTCCCCGTGTGCTCCACCGCCGCCCTCGGCTCCAGGCCCGGCCTGCCCTCGGCGGGGGACCGCGAGGAGAAGCTGTCACAGGAGGGATGCCGAGACGAGGGGCTGGTGCACAGCTGGGGACTCGGGGTCTTAGACCCGGACTGACGGGCAGTGAGCGACACCCGGTGGCAGGTGAAGGGCGAGGTCCACTTGAGCTTCTCCATGGGGATGTGGATGGCCTCGCAGAAGGCTTGGTTGAGCAGGAAGGCTCCGGAGGCCAGCTGCAGAGACACCTGTGTGTGGGGAAGCCCCTCAGTGGGCCTCAAACGTGTTAGCCCCTGGGCCCCGGGCCATGCACCGTCCGCATCCACACTGCCACCCCACCCCAGCTGCCCGGCGCATTTGGGGGTGCCTGGGCCAGCTGAGCATCCCCGTCTTTATCCCACAGGCACCTCAGACTAACCGCTCTCCAAGCCCAAGTCAGCGTCTTCGCTCCAAACCTGCCTCTCGTCCTGGGCAGGTGGGCCTGGCTCAGCCACTGGGACTGTCCCCTGCCATGCAGTGGAGTTGGGCAGCTGTCCCCCTCTTCCTCCCTCACACCCACCAGTTTCCAAGTCCCAATAGGTCCTCTGTCTACACTGTCCTGCAGGCCACCATTCGTCTCTTCTCTCTCCCCTGTCCCCACCCCACCCATCTGTCCCGCAGGTGGAGGGATCTCTGTAAGGCGCGGATCATGCATCGTGGGGAGGCACAGTTCCACGGCTTCAGTGTCTCTTAGAGTAAGCCCAAAGTGTGATTAATAAAGCCCTACACGAGCCAGCCCCGGTTTGTCCTCGGCTCTCACCCCTCAAATCCATTCTCCACCTGCCATGCTCCCTCTCTCCTCCATAGCTCCTCACCTCGGGTCTGGGCTTAGCCATGACCTTCTTCAGGAAGTCAGGCTTAATGCCACCCTGACCCCGGCTCGAGCCTGGGTTAGGTGTCCACCCTGTGGACTCCTCCACTGAACTGGACCTCACAGCTCCGAGGATTAGAACCGCCCAGTTCCCTGTCTGGGTCCCCTTCGATGCTAAGCACCATAAGAGCAGGGACTGTATTTGTCTCATTCAAGGTTGTCCCCTCAAGGTCTAGCACCTGACTCAAGAAATGATTGTTGAATGAATATACACATAATGTCCTGTTGCCCTGGGTATTTGGAAATTCAGAGTGACACTATGCACTTGGGTGTACAGGGACAGGAACGTACAGTGAAGCTCAAACTGTGTCCCTCCTTCGAGCACCCTCTGTTCCCCAAGACCCGAGGGGCCCCAGATGTCTCCTTTCCTCCGCAGTTCAGAGAAGCCCACTCAGGACCTTCCCACCCGGCCGCAGCACGCTAGAGCATCTGCAGACCCACTTGCTAAACACGGTGCATGTCCCCGAGGCGTTAATTTTACTCGCTTGTGAGTCATTTCAAAGCTTATTTTTATGTACTGAAAAACAGACACACATAGACGGTGGAGCAGAAAGCAAAATTCCCACAAATTTTTAAGGCGAAGACAGCAAATTGCAAGGAATTTTTGTGATGCCGTGCTGGCTTCTAGCAAAATCCCTGGACCCCTGGGCGGGGGAGGCGCACGCAGATTCCCTCTGCCCTGCTGGCTACTTGGGTGGGAAGCTCTGGGAAGCTGCGGAACTCGGAACTCGGGGATCTGAGCTCCCCGACAGTCTTCTGAGGAGGTGGAGGGGTGGGCAGGGGATCCCAGGGAGGCCCTGCTGCTCAGTTGCGCGGCAGTGGGGTGGGCCTGGGGTCGGGGCACTCACCAGTGGTATATAGTCGAAGCTCTGGCTCCCCGAGGTGGGCTCCGGAGCTCTGCCCAGCGGCTTGCTCAGGAAGCCCTTGGCCGCCCGCGTCAGCAGCCTGGACTTGTTGAGCTTCAGCCTGTGCAGGTGCAGTGGGGTGTCGCTCGTCATCCCACCTCCTGGTACCCACCCAGAAGCCTCTGCAAGTCAGGGCCAGAAGGCATTCAACAGAGAGCCTCCTCCCGACTCCTCGTCTGACAGCTGGGGAATCGGAGGCCTGGGGAGAGGGGCAGGCACCTGCCCCACGTCACTCAGCGAGTTAGCAGCAGCCAGGACCAGGAGCCGGTCAGTGTTCGTTCATGCCCCTCTTTTGATGTCGCACTGGTGCCCAGCCTGGTGGTCAGATAGTGTGTGTGCCAGCCCTCCCAGGGGAATCTGCACTTGAACAGGGACCAAGGAAGTGTAGGTGGTGACCTATAAGGGGAAGATGTTAGGCGGCGCGAGGCCTGGAAGACAGTGACAGCTCTGGGTGGCACCGGTCTAAATGTCAGGCTGGACCTGCCTCTGGCCTTCCAAGAGAGGAACTCCCCCAGGAAAATGAGTGCGCCCTCGTGGGAGGTCCCACTTACCTGGAGCCAAAGAGAGTCTCTGAGGCCTTCGTGGGAGAAAGGGTATTGGTGGCCAGACTGCGCAGGGGATCTGGAGAGCCACAGAATGACAGAGCTGAGGCCGGACAGATGACCCTGCCCAACTGCTCACTGCCCAGCTGCAGAAACAGAGGCCTAGAGAGGGGCGGGGGCCTGACTATAGCCCTATGTCCCTAGAGACCCTATGTCCCTAGAGGCCCAACCCAGCCATTAGGGTGCAGGGCTGTTTCTGTCTCGGGTGGCATGGGGAGGGGTGGAATATGTGCCTCCACGTGTAAAAAACTGGCCTCCAGGTTTCCTTGGTAGGTGGCCCCTGGCATCTTCTGGGAGATTACTTGTGAGGGGGGCAGTGACAGCTCACATCAACCCCCCTTGTTCCCACATGGGGACATCGAGTTGATCTCCCAGCACATTGCTGGAGGACCCTGGGCAGAGCGGGTGGTAGAGTCCTCCCTTGGCTGGAATCGGGACGCCTGACTCCAGGCCCAGCTGTCTCATCGACATGCTGTGTCACCTTGCAAGTCACTTCACCTATTCAAGCCTCAGTTTCCTCATCTTTATTTACCTTATTTTTTAAAAAATTGTTTTGTTAGAGATGGAGTCTTGCTCTGTTGTCCAGGCTGGAGTGCAGTGGTGCAATCATAGCTCACAGCAATCTCAAACTCCTGGGCTCAAGCGAGCCTCCTGCCTCAGCCTCCCGAGTAGCTGGGACTATAGGCGTGCACTGCCACGTCTGGCTAAATTTTTTATTTTATTTTTTGTAGAGACAGGGGTCTCTCTATATTGCCCAGGCTGCTCTCGAATTCCTGGCCTCAAGTAATTCTCCTGCATCAGCCTCCCAAAATGTCTCATCTTTAAATTGGGGATAATCCTACTCATCTCACATAGGAATTGTTTTGAGGAATCAATGCAGTCCTGGGGACATGTTGGTGCTAGGACACTCTCCTGACCCAGGACCAATCACAACCACCCTCCTGATTAAGGAGAGGCAACACCCATTGCCTACTCACCTTTGGGAGCAGCGTGCTTCTCCCGGCTGAGGGATGTGGTCTCATTCAAGGGCACGGTGAGGCTGGTCTCCCCATCTAGGACAGAGGAGCCAGTGAGCTGCGACCTCTCCCAGCCCTCCCTTCCTCACCTCCCGTCCCCAGGGACAGTGCTGGTCTAGTTCACAGTGCCTAGGGGTGGGCTGGGGGAGCAAAGTCAGGGTTTCCACCCTGGCTAGGATGGCTTTCATCTTCCAAAATATAACCATTGCCCCACCATGAGGTCAGACGTGCTTGGGTTCAAATCCCGATTCCTGCATTGGCCAGCCGTGGGGCCTTGGCAAAGTTACATCATAAATTCTGATTGCAAATTGGAGATCCTGGTATCTATCTCACAGTGTTGCTGTAAAGATTAAATTTAAGCCCTGAGGCTACAGACAGGCAGGGGGACAGGAGTAGTCAGGGGCCTGAGGGTGAGGGTTGGGGTTGGGAGAGGGGTGGGCATCTCCTCACCAGGTCTGTGCCTCACTGGGGAGGGGCTCATGCCAGCTCTCCAGGAGGCACCAGAATACAGCTCTGACTTGTCATAGGGCTCTGAGCCTCAATTACCCCATCCGTAAAATGGGGATAACAATCACATGTTCTTTGTTCAGAACTCATAACTGAGGTGATTATTTTTATGACCACTCCTCCAAGGGCTAGAGAGTGATAGGGCAATCTACTAGAAGGGGCTAGTCCAAATCCTAGAAAAAGCTTTATGTGCAAACGTGTTTGGCAAAGCCTCTGCCTCCTGCCATGAGACCGTTAGCTCTGTGAGGGCCAAGATGGGGCTCCACTCGTTGCCCCAGCACCCAGCACTAGAGTGCTCTAATGACTGAACGACTGAATGACTGAATGAATGACTGACTGAGGCAACCACAAGGCAGGTAGGAGGGAGGCTAACCTCATGGACTCTGGGCCAAACACGTCTGGGTTCAAACCTCGGCTCTACCATGTAGCAGCTGTGTGCCCTAGAGTAAGTCACTTAACCTCTCTGAGTGTCCTCATCTCTTAGTGGGGAAAATAAAAGGAACTCTCTCAAGATGGTCGTGAGTAGTCACGGATAATTCGAACAGTGCCCAGCATATGGAAAACTCTCCAGTTAGCCACTGTCTTCCTCAGGGAGGGAGAAGCTTGGGTAGGATGAGAGTTTAGAAGTCAGAGACATGGGCGAGAATCAGAGGACAATTGAAAGGAAGGGGTCTGTGATGTGACGGAAGCCATGGGCCACCCAGAGCTAAGCCGCAGAGAACGGAAAGGGTGGACTGGGAATTTCCTGTCCACTGGAAGCTCAGCTTGGCTCGGGGTAGGGCTGGTTCCACTGGGTTTTGGAGCCAAAGGGATCGAGAAGTTGGCAGAATCCTTAATTCTGAAGAGCTCCTCTGCTTCTTCTCCCGCTCACACAGTGTTCTCATTTTCTAACCCATCAACGTCTGTAAGCTGGTTCTGGTACCTTGGGTAACAAATTCTTATGGTCTGGGTAGCTGGGCTGGTGGCCAGGCGGGACTCCTGATGTCCTGTCCTCTCCACGCACAGAAGAAGGCAAGAGATCCTCACTGTGCATGTGAGGGCAGCAAGGAAGGGGTTAGGACTAGTGCAGCAGTTAGGCTGTCTTTAGAGACAGAAAGACACACACCTATGCAGGACACACAGGATCAAAGCCATCCTGTGAAGGAGTGCAAGGTCAGGCTCTCCAAGGAGCCACCCTGCAGACACAGTGAAATCAGGAGAAGGCTCAAAGGAAGCTGTTGGGATTCCTGAAAGAAACAGATGGTGGGACCCAAGCAGATGGAACTTGCCTCTTTGCTCTTGGGTTTCTTCCTTATTAGGTTTCCCGGCAGTTGGTGCCTGGGAGGACTCAGAGGCTGGAGGCAGGGGACAGCCAGTAGGGTCAGGGACCTTGAAGGGGAGAGGTGGGGGAGGGCGTGGGCGGGGAGGTGGAGCTGCTCTCTGGCAGAGAGAGCTGCGTCAGTGGTGGTGTGCTGTGGCCATCCTGAGCCCCTCTTCTGCAGGCCTGGCTGTGCCCTGGCCCTGCTGAGCCCAGAGCGCAGACTCAGAGAGAGGCCTCTGGGGCCTCGGACATGAGGGTGCCACAACGCCAGGGGCCCAGGCTACTGAACACGCTCTTACTCAGGGGCGGCTCTTACTTAGGGTCTGAAATTTGCCATCTCCAGCTGCCGAGTCCTCTCTGAGCGTGGTCTGGGACCGTCCGAAGCCAGCAGAGGCGTCCCTCCACTGTCGGGTCAGGACCCGGGAGCTGATCATCCGCAGCGCAGCACCTTCACAGAAGACAAGGAGGAGGTGCAGCTGGGTACAAATGTGCCAGTCCTCCCCTCTTCCCCGAGGCTGGCGGGACAGATTCTGGCTTCAGTCTTTCCAAAAGGCAGGAAGGTATTCTCCAGAGGTGGGAAGGCATTGTCCACGGTAAGACCACGAGATTTAGAGTCACAGAGACTGGGGTTTGAGCCCCAGCCCCACTCTTGCCAGCTGGATGGGGCGCTAACCACGCTGAGCCGCAGTGTCCTTACCTGGAAAGTGGAGATAATAGCACCTACCTTGTCGGGTAGACACTGCTGCTCACAGAATGTTCAGGAAGCAGCAATGGTTTCTAGTTAGTCGAAAGGCTGGTTTTCTCAGAAACACTTTGTATTCCTTCTCTCTGTCCACTATCTCAGAGACCCACATCCCAGGCCCTCCTCCTGCAGGGCAGACCCCTGAAGTCCCAGGGTATCACCAATAGGTGGTAGATGGAAGAGAGATGAAGTTACAGCACCGTAAAGTACGTTTTAGGGAACCCCACTTTCAGAGAACACTAGTTTTTAAGTTGTTCCTTAAAAAAGATAAAGTTCTCTTGGGAAACATGTTTTGAAGAGGCTGCCTACTATAGTCCATTCTCTGAGCATCTTTTTTTTTTTTGAGACAGAGTCTCACTTTGTTGCCCGGGCTAGAATGCCGTGGTGTCAGCCTAGCTCACAGCAACCTCAAACTCCTGGACTCAAGCGATCCTCCTGCCTCAGCCTCCCAAGTGGCTGGGACTATAGGCATGTGCCACCATGCCCGGCTAATTTTTTCTATGTATTTTTAGCTGTCCAATTAATTTCTTTCTATTTTTGGTAGAGACGGGGTCTCGCTCTTGCTCAGGCTGGTCTCGAACTCCTGAGCTCAAATAATCTGCCCGCCTCGGCCTCCCAGAGTGCTAGGATTACAGGCGTGAGCCACCACGCCCGGCCTCTCTGAGCATCTTGATGTATATTGACATACTAAAGGCTCTGAGAAGTTCTGCAGTGAAGAAAGCTTTTGAGCTCTATTTAATCCAGTGGTTCCCAAATGTATATCCTAATTCAGTATTTTCTATTTTTGTGCTGGATGGCATGACATGAAACTAGGGTTCTAGTTTCTTGGAACCTACTTGGGAAAGTGCAGACCTAGATCTTAGGGGGGCTTTGGGGCTTGGGTTCAGATATGAGCAGGTGCTTGACTTCCTAGGCTGTGGCTGCAGGTGCTGGCAGGCTGGTCAGAGATGGGTGGGAGATGGAGGGACAGTCGTCCTAGCAATGTGAATAATGAAACCACTCAGTGAGGATGTGGCCTGGGTAGGGTGGCTGCTGCATTGCTTGAAATGACAGCAATTGAGAGGGGGTGGGATGGGAAGTTGATCATTTCAGGACCACCAGTAAGAAAAGATGGGCAGGAGGAATGAGGAAGGGCACATTTTATTCCCAGCATGATTCTTTCTGGAGATCTGCTAAAAAATAAAAAGGGGACCACGAAGGACAGAAAAATGTAATTTAGAAACAAAAAGCATGAAAGTTCATACACATGAACCACAAAAAAATGAAAGAAAGGGTCCAAGAGGGATTCTTTTTTCACCTATCAGACTGGCAGAGTTGAGAAAGGTAAACAATATTGAGTGTTGGGGAGGATGGACATTGGAATAACCTTTGGGGTGGGCGGGGTGGTTTGGCAACTACATCCCAATTTTAAATATGCAGACCCTTGACACTGCAATCCTACTTCTAAGAGTTAATTAATTCCAAGGAGATAGCCAGACAGACACACAAAGATGTTCTCAGCAGTATAATTTACAGTAATCAAATGGGGAATACACTAACTGTCTAAATAGGCTTAAAAGGTTGTGATATATCTTTTTTTTTTAAATTTCAGAATATTATGGGGGTACAAATGTTTGGTTACATCAACTGCTTTTGTACCATTTGAGTCAAAGTTGTAAGTGTGCCCAGCCCCTAGATAGCGTGCACTGCACCCGGTAGGTGTGGTGATGTATCTAACAGGCAGTAGGGGATGAGTAGGAGAGAACTCAGCCTCTGGGGCCAGGACACTGGGATTGAAAGCCTGGCTCTGCCCCTCACTGCTGTGTGACCTCAGGAAAGTTACTTAACAACTCTGTTTCCCATCTGCAAAATGGGGGTAATAATTGTATCTACTTTGCAGAGCTGTTTTGAGGATTAGTTGATTTAAAATATATGTTTTGGAACCCTTTCTCATTGGCCATTACGATGACACTAGCTCCCTGCAGTGGAGCGGGCTGTGGCTACTAAAATGAGGACGTAGATTTACCTTCATGGAGAGACACTCTCCATACCCATATTTTGTAAAATATAGCACATATTGGTATGGTCCAATTCACATAAAATGATCTGTCTTTTGATTTCTCTACACATAGGTATCGGTAGAGAGAAGTCTGGAAGGATGGTCACACCAAGGAGGTAAGTAGTACTCCTTCCTGGATGGCCGTCAGTTTTATTTATTGTATATCTTTCTATATTTTGGAGTTTTCTACAATAAGTGCATACCATTGTCCCAGCTGGAGAAATACAGTGAAGACATTTTCATTGGTGGGAAAAAGGGACTGGGATGATTTCACAGCCTCTGCAGAGCACGTGCCCCCACCTCACGGTGACCAGAACATCCGCTGGGGGCCGTTCTGCTTCCAGGCCCTACCTTGCACCCTTCCTGCAGTTGCGCGATCCTTCCTATCTCAGCCCCCTCCCTCCGTCCCTCAGGAGAGCCCGAGCCCCCCGCCTGCCTTACCGGAGTTGGGGTACTCCACCACGGTGGGCAGGTACCGGCTCTTGCTCACGTCCACAGGCACGAAGGCTGTGTATTTGCTGATGACGCTGCAGGCCTTGCTGGTGTGCACTGCGTTCACCTGGTAGCGGCGGTTGGAGCCTGTGAAGCGAGAAGCTGGGGTCGCTGTTTGGACTCGGAAAATCTTCCCTGACATGGAAGCTCTGGAAGCTAAAAGGAGGGCTCAACGACTGGTCCCCATCTTTGGGATTAAATAAGCCCTTAAAAAAAAGGGGTTGCTAGCTCGCTAATTAAAGACATTTTTAAAAAAAAATACCACCGTCATTTCACATCATCATTTCACAAAATAAAGGATATTTTAATGTAAAAATATAAGACATTATCTCAGAATAAAAGACAGCTACTTCCCTTAAATAACTGTAGTGTTATTTTTAAAAAAAAACCCACCATGTTTTCTGTATTTTATATTTTAATTTTGCAGATGTCTAACAGGAACCTTGCCCTGGGACTTTGTAGGTCCCCTGACTGGTGGGTGGGGACCACTATCTGACCCATCTAACTGCCGGGAAGATTGAAAATCAGAGAGGGAGAGTGGTGAGCACAGGGTCACACAGAGAGTTAGTCACAGACCTGAGATGGGGACTCAGGATGGCCTGACCCCAAAGCCCAATCCCTTTGCACTGAACAGATGAGGGGCTTGCCACCTCCAGGGGCCTGGGTGAGGAGCCCGGGACATGAAGGGTGGACAAGTGCTTTGTAAACTGTAAGGTGAGGACCTCGCAGGAAGAATGAAAGTAACACATACAGCACAAAAATGCAAATAGAATATAAACAACATAATGTTATTATATAAATACAGCACAAGCCTATAACAAAGAAACAACATAACCACTCTATTCATATCTCCATTCTCCGAGCTGCTCCAGCAAGATCCCACCAGTGGCTTTCTCGGCGAAGTCTGCCCCAATTCCTGGACTAAATTAGCTCCCCCACCAACCCTGTTATACAGTCTCTTGGATGCCTGTATTTCTTTTTAACAGCACTTAGGACAAATGCACTCAATTAATTATTTGTGTAATTGATTAATGCTGGCTTCCCTGCTAGTCTGTCAAGCACGCATGAGTAAGGACAGGAGAGCTTTGTTCACTGGCTGTGGTGGTGGGGCGTCCACGCGGGCCTGGCCCCAGCTGGTCCCAACAAGTAGGAGGCATTGATGAGTGCGGGGACGGACTTGGGGGGCTGGTCCTTGCGGAAAGCCTGGGCTGTCGTCCTTGTTCTGTTTTCGAAGCACTACTGGGGCGTTACCGGGGAGAAGCGCTGGGAAGTGAGGGGAGTGGCGGTCCGTGGGAGAGGGAAAGGAGGCAAGCAAACAGGTCGCTCGGTCGGGGCGGAAAGGGTGGAGGGGCCCGGACTGCGCAAAAGGGGCACCGGGCTGTGTGTGTGTGCGTGTGTGCGTGTGTGTGCGTGTGCGTGTGTGCGTGTGTGTGCGTGTGTGTGTGTGTGTGTGTGTGTTGCGGGAGGGGCGGCACCTGCAGGCAGCGGGAGTGGGTGGAGCCGCGGGCCGTGGCCGGTGACTGGCGCCAGGGGAGGGGTCAGGGTAAGGAATGAGCCCGGGCACTCACCGGAATGGGGAGGGGCGAGGCCCAGAGGCCGGGCAGGGGGCGGGGTCTAGGGCAAGTGGGTGGGGCAAGGGGCGGGGCTGTGAGGAGGGGCGTCCCTAGCCGCGCGCGGAAGGGTGCCGGGTGCGGGCCACTGCGCTCACCTTGCTCGATGTCGCCCTCGCGCTCCGCCAGCTGCTCGAAGTCGCGGATGATGGCGCGGGCCGCCAGGTGGTGGAAGGTCTCGCTCCACAGGTCGTCGTCGCGCCGCTCCGGGCCGGGGGGCCCCAGCTCGAAGCTCACCTCCCACTGCACGCGCTGGCTGTCGCGCAGGCCTTTGACCAGCGCCTTGCCCAGCACCGGGCCTGGGGTGGCGGGCCTGCCGGGACTGGCCCGCTCCTCGGCCTCGGCCAGGGGCTCCCAGTCCGAGGACGTCTCGGTCTCGAAGGCGGAGGGGTGATGGGACGGGTCTGTGGGCGGAGGCGGCAAGAGGGCCAGACGCTGACCTGGGGGACAGACGGCCAGTCCTCCCCCAGGAAACAGACACCCCTAAGCAAGTACAATCCCCTCTTCCCCCCAAGGAAAAAAACAACCCCTTCCTAAGAAAACCGGGGGGCAAGGGCCTGGCCCCAAAAAAAGGGGCAGATCCACTGCCCAGGAAGCCAGTACCTGAGGGAGCCAGATAGGATGGGGCGAGACGTGGGCAGCGAGAATGGAGCTGCAGCCTCACAGGCCACGCAAGGGCGAGGTGGCTGGGGAAGCCTGGATGGGTGAGGTGCTCAGGGAGGGGTGGGCCACAGCAGACCCCCAAGGACACAGACACAGGCTTTTACCTCTGGGCCTGTCATCTGAAGTTGGCCACAACCAAGGATTCCTCCCCATTCCCAGTCAGGTCCTGGACCCTGCAATCGCTTACCCAGGTCCCCAGGGCTGCGGCTGTCTGAGGCAGGCTTCAGGCTGGACCCAGGATCCTGCTCCCTCATGGGGCTCCAGGCCAGGGACTCCTGGCCTGAGGGTGGGAAGAGCTGGCAGCTTTGGGGTAGCAGAGAGGGCCTGCGGGCCCCTGGGCCTCGGAGTTTGGGTCCCTGGCTCAGGTCCTGGCCACAGTTCAGCAAGGGCTAGGAATGCAAAAGGAGAGACCTGGTGGTGGGACCCTCCTTCCTCCTGCCCCTGCCACAGCTCTTTCCTCCTGGGCACTGCCCCTCCAGCACCCAGGGGCACATGACCCAGTCTCCATTACCCATGAGTAACATCAACGAGAGTAATCCCAAACCGTGGATGAACTCCAAACCACAGAAAACCATGGAAAATCACACACCATGGATAATTCTAAACCTGCTTTTTTTTTTGCTATAAAGTTTAAAACTTTTTTTGTGTGTGGTTAAAATTATCAACCTTTTTCCTTATGTCTTTCCATATGTCATGCTTAAAAGGTCTTTCTCATGCAAAAAATATTCCAGAATTTTTGTAATTTCATTTTTGTTTGTGTGTTTAAATCTTTGATTCACATGAAATTTATTTTGGTGTAGGGAGATAGAAACGAGCTTTTCCTTGGCTTTCCAAATGATACAAATCTTAACACCAATTACTGAATGCAGTTTATCCATTGAGTCCCTGCAGTTTATCCGTTTCCCACTTCTATCCCAACAAAGCTTTCGTGCACATTTGGTTATATTTATGGACTTCTTCTTTTGTTGATTTTATCTACTCTTGTGCTGGTACAAACAGACACTAAAAGGCAAGGGATAAACTGAAAAATTCATTTGCAACATGCATGACAAAGATCACTTTCAAGAAAATGCTTTTACAAATCACTGGGGCTAAAAGATACACTTAGTAGAACAATAGGTTAAGGGCATTTGGGGGCAGTTTATAGCAAAAGTATCCCATAAACTCATGAAAAAAATGCTCAGCCTCACAAAAAATTTGAGTAATGTCAATTAAAACAAGTTATGTTTTTTTGTATCTTACAGATTGGCAAATATTTAAAAGTTTGATGACACTCATCATGCCCAATGGGGAGACAGAGTTTCTCATGGGTTGTCAGTAGGAGTGTAAAACTGGTACACGTTTTTGGGAGAATAATTTAGCAATGTGCTATCTAGTAACAATTAAAATGCACAAACCCCTTTGACCCTGCGATGTCACTTTTTGGAATTCAATCCTGTGGAAATACACAAGCGTGCAAATATCTATGTGCAAGTACTGTATATAAGTTTACAGTATTATTAACTGTCTGGAAACTACGTAAGTATCTCTCAGTAGAGGTTGACAAATAAGTTATGGCAGATCCGTGCAGTGGAACACCATACAACACCGAAAAGAAAGAGCTAGATTTTTTCATATCAAATGGGAAGATGTCCAAGATAAAACTTATTTTTAAAATGTAAATTGCGACTGTTCTAGCTCTTTTTTTTTTTGAGACAGAGTCTTGCTCTGTTGCCCGGGCTAGAGTGCCGTGGCGTCAGCTTAGCTCACAGCAACCTCAGACTCCTGGGCTCAAGCAATCTTTCTGCCTCAGCCTCCCAAGTAGCTGGGACTACAGGCATGTGCCACCATGTCCGGCTAATTTTGTGTATATATATATATATATATATATATATATATATACACATATTTTTTAGTTGTCCAGATCATTTCTTTCTATTTTTTAGTAGAGACAGGGTCTCGCTCTTGCTCAGGCTGGTCTCGAACTCCTGACCTTGAGCGATCCATCCACCTCGGCTCCCAGAGTGCTAGGATTACAGGCGTGAGCCACCACGCCCAGCCTGTTTTATCTCTTAATTGTGGTAAATACATGACTACACGCATTTGTCAGATCTCACAGAACTGTTCCAACATAAAAGTAATTTTACTGTGTATAGAAAAGTGAATTAAAAAGACATTTGAAAAGTAAGTTGGAGAGCAGTTTGTATATGTGATTATTAAAATATATCCATATGGTGTGTATGTGTGTGTATTTCTGTGTATGTGTAGTATTTCTGGAAGAGAACACTCAAAACCAAGTGAAGGCTGGGCGCGGTGGCTCATGCCTCTAATCCTAGCACTCTGGGAGGCCGAGGCAGACGGATTGTTTGAGCTCAGGAGTTCGAAACCAGCCTGAGCAAGAGCGAGACCCTGTCTCTACTAAAAATAGAAAGAAATTAATCGGACAACTAAAAGTATATAGAAAAAATTAACCAGGCATCGTGGCACATGCCTGTAGTCCCAGCTACTCGGGAGGCTGAGGCAGGAGGATTGCTTGAGCCCAGGAGTTTGAGGATGCTGTGAGCTAGGATGATGCCACGGCACGCACTCTAGCCCAGGCAACACAGTGAGACTGTCTCAAAAACAAAAAACAAAAAACAAAAAACCAAGTGAATCTGGGCATAGAGGAGGAGGACTTTTATTTGTAGTTTATACCCAACTGAAGGTTGGTTTTTATTTCAAACTCTGAGTAGTTATTACTTTTGTAATTGAAGACTATTAAGTTATGTAAAAATGAATCTTAAGCCTCTGGGACCATATACATCCCCTGGTAGGGGGAGGGGATGAGGAAGCAAAGGCCTTACTAGGTGGAATTTTTAAGGCCACCAGTTAACCATGGAGGCTTTTCCATCCCTATCAAGTATTTGTTGGGAGGGGGACTGTGCCTCCCCTATCTCTTAGATCAGAGGTCCTAGGGATGGTGCAAGGATGTGGGAGAAGGAGGGGACCGGTCACTCCCAGGATGGCCTCAGTGGGGGAGCTGGTACCCAGCCAGGGCTGCTGGATCCCTAACACCCCCAACCCCCATCAAAGACTGGGGTTCCCCCATTCCTACCACACCATCACCACCACACTGGGTCAGAGAGAAACTGAAGCTGCTAAGGTTTCCATGGCAACAGATGAGTCTAAGCTCCAGTGAGCCCTTTACCCAGCCAGAGGCTGCAGGGAGGGAGAGAGACAGAGAGAGAGAGAGTGTGTGTGTGTGTGTATGTGAGCGGAGATGGGCCTCAAGTGCTAAGGAACATGCAGGAGAGATGTAAAAGGGGCCAACCTGCCCAGAGCTCCCACCAAGTAGAGCTGCCACCAAAGGACACCTATTGTGTGCCAGGTGCTAGGCCAGACACTTCGTCTCTTATCAGCCAACGCCTGGAGGAGTCCTCCACTTAGAGTTGGCTGCCAGTAAATATCTGTGGAGGAGTGGCAGCTCCATCATCTCGTAAGCTATTCTCCCCATTTCCTAGGTGGGGCAGTCGGGGCTCAGAAAGTTGAGCGACATGTTTAAGGAGCAGACCCGGCTGCAAGGCCAAGGCCTTCCAGTTGCACCAAGTGGTCCCTGCTGAGCACAGAGAAGGGCCCTCAGGGACAAGGTGGCAGTGGCCTTTCCCTTGGGGAGTGGGCTTATGTGTATGTGAAGCAGGGAGGGACGGGGAGGGGGAGGCTGGGAGTGGGAACGGGCATACCCAGGGGAGAGGAGAAAGGGTGCTTTTATGGAACCACAGACGTATAATGACAAATCGACATGAACTCATTCTTAAGAAATGGGTTAAACCACAGTTTGGTTTAGGACAGCCGTTCTCAACCAGGTGATTCCCCTCCCCCACCCCAGGCCATTCGGCGGTGTCTGTAGACATGTTTTGTTGTCATGACTGGAGGTGGTGTGGACACTGGCTTCGAGTGGGCAGAGGCCAGGGACACTGCAAACATTCTACAATGCACGGGACACCCCTTGCCCCATAACAAAGAATTACCATCTTAACAGAGCAGAGGTTGAGAGACCCCGGTCTAGCAAGACAGTGCATGACACTCCTGCGGTGGCTCTGTCACTCTCAAATTCTCTTTGCCCTGGGGAAATGTACAACCCCTGGAGCTTGTCGGAGGTACAGTGTGATAGAGGAGGAAGCAAGGGCTTCTTGAAGGCAGAGGGGCCTGTTGCAGTCCCCTGACTGGCTGTGTGACCCTGGATAAGCCACTTTACCTCTCTGGATCTCAGTTGCCACTGAGTCAGGGTGGCTGGCCCCCAAACTCTCTCCTGTCCTGGGGATGCTGCAAAATCAGCTGAAAGAGTGGATGCTCCTCGTCAACTGGGAAGTGCTGTGTGCAGAGAATGAGTGAGCTCATCACCTAGCGGGTGTCATGATAGGAAGGTGTCCTTGGGGGGCAAGGCAGACGGAGGCCCAGAAAAGTGAAGAGGTGAGGCTCACTCAGCAGCTAAGCTGTGCACAGGCCCCGTCCTGTGGCCGAAGCAGGAGACACAGCTCTCCCAGCCCGTGGCCTTCCCCAGCTCCCTCCCAACCTGCCCTGCCTAGGTACCTGCAAGCCAGTGTGCCACCGCTGGGCATCCAGGCTGGTCTGGTTGGTGAGGTCCTGCAGCCGGGCTTTCCGCAGCGGGTATCTCCTGGCAGCCACCGTGGGGTCGCTGGCCGTGGTGGCCCTTGGGCGGGGCTTGTGGTTGGTGATGTGGTTGGTGCTGTACGCCCTCCGTCGCTGGGAGAGGTTCAGATCTGGACAGAGGTAGAGATAGGGGAACCATGAGGGTGGGACAGAGGGAAAGAGAGGGGCTTGCATACTTCTTTCCTGCTTGCCCACCAAAATCTGTGCAGGTGCCTCACCAGCATCCGAAGCCTTGGCTGATCTGGCCCTAATCTATCTCCCACATACTCTCCCTTCTGCTCCCTTTTTAATGCACAATGTGCCCCAAACACACTAGATGAGCAACAGTTGTATGATATATGTGCTTTCTAAGTGGCACACCTCCACGCCTTTGCTCAGGCAGTTTCTGCTGCCTGGACGCTCCTCTCTATTCTTCTAAGAACCCAACCCCTTGCTAAGTCTTTGTTTATGTCCACTAGTGCTGCAGTCCCCAACCCCGGTACTGGTCCATGGCCCATTAGGAACTGGGCTGCACAGCAGGAGGTGAGTGGCAGGCGAGGGAGCAAAGCTTCATCTGTATTTACAGCCGCTCCCCATGGCTCACATCACCGCATAAGCTCCGCCTGCTGTCAGATCAGTGCTGGCATTAGATTCTCATAGGAGCCAGAACCCTACTGTAAACTGCGCATGCGAGGGATCTAGGTTGCGGCTCCTGGTGAGAACTTAATGCCTGATATCTGAGGTGGAGCTGAGGCGGTGATGCTAGCACTGGGGACTGGCTGCAAATACAGATTATCATTAGCAGAGAGGTTTGACTGCACAATAAATGTAATGTCCTTGAATCATCCTGACACCATCCCCGCCTCCCCCGGTCCGTGGAAAAATTGTCTTCCATGAAACTGGTCCCTGGTGCTCAAAAGGTTGGGGACCGCTGCTCTAGTGGATGTACTTGTCTCTCTTGGGATCCCCACAGTTTGTTGCATTTTCCAGAGGCCCCTGTCACTCTGCTTTCTACCAGAGTTAGGGCCAGTCATCTCTCTCTTGCTAGATGGAGAGCTCATTAAGGGCAGGTGACATGTTTGAGTCATCTTTGCTTTCCATGTTGTGTGCTCGGTCCCTAGCCTTAGTACGGAATCAGTAAATGCACTGTGAATGGAAATTAACAGCATAAAGAGGCTTTGTAGTCAGATAGGTCCAGACTCCTAATCTGTACTCTACCTCTTTCGAGCCCTATGACCTTAGCCAAGTTGCTTAAATTCTCTAAGTCTCATTTTCCTCATCTGTGAAATGGGTATAACAGTACCCACCTCTGTAGCTGCTAACTGGCCAATGAGATGGTTTTAAAAAGCACTTAGCATGTAGCAAGTGCTCAATATAAGGTAGTAATCATTATGGCTTCCCTGAAGAAACAGCAGCAGACCAACCAGGATTGGTGGTGGAGTCTCCACTGACTGGCCAGGCATCTTTGGCCTGCCCCAGGTTGAAGGGTGCTTCCAAGTTCTTGGCACAGTCTCCACTGTCCGGCCCAGGTCCCTCATCCTGAGAGTGGTAGAAGACGGAGCTGCTGGACTCCTGAGAGTGCAGCATGCTGTACCGTCGCCTCTTGTCCTGGAGGGAGGGAGAGAAAAGAGAGCCGGGAGAAAGGCTTGGTGCCAGGAAGGACTTCTCGGGGCAGCAAAGGGTGTAAACACAGGTGGTGGAGATTCTGTCTCAGAAGAACGTGCATAATAGGAAAGCTGTTTGTTTGCTTAGGAAATTTTGGAAAAGTTCCTTTCAAGAGATGGTGAATGGAATTATCTTTTCATATCACTTATGTTGTTTATATTTTCTATTATTGACCTCATTCTTTAAAAGATTTTAAAAATGTAATTCTAAATGCCACTCCTGTCTCCAAATAGGTAGCCCAAATT